TTTTTTTTTTTTTTTTTTTTTTTTTTGGTACCGGAGCTCGAACTCGGGACATTGTGCTTACAAGGCAGGCGGCGGCACCACTGAGATAAATACCCAGCCCTAGGGTGACCTCTTGCTCCAATGACCAATCTCACTCTCAGAAGGAGAAGCAGGGCCCTGAAAGGTATGGAGGAAGGATTTACTGACACTGATTTCCAATAGGATCAACTTTGGGTTTCTAGAGAAGAGGGTCTAAGCATCTGGTTTCTCAGCCCGTGGGGCTCGGAGGTGGTTTGAAAATCCCAAGGCAGCCTTTGAGAGTATGGGGACTGAGGCCCTCCACTCTGGAGACCCAGGAAGGCACAGCTCTCTTCCTGGAAAAAGCTTCCTAAGTGACCCTTACAAGGTGCTGGAACAGAAGACAGGTATGAATAAGGAAGTCTGCTGGACACATGCTGGCCAGCAAGGACCCAGGAAGGGACCTCTCAACATCACCCAGGGAATGGGAAAAGCTGAACACTAGCTGGGGTCCTTTGGGGGACCCATGTGTGTGAGTCATACTTATTGTGCACCCACTATGTGCCAGTGCACCTACTATGTGCATTCTTCATGATGCACCCTTTTCCAGCAATAGTAGCATTTTCCTGCAGATTTGCACCCAAAGCTCAGAGGTGTAGTGCTCAGCCCTTGGGTCAGACAGAGATGGACTGGGCTCAAACCCCAGCTTCACCTTGGGTGGGTGCCATCACCTGGCTGGATCTGTTTCCTCATCTGTACATGGGAATATGATGCTTCCCTTTGGTGGCTGCCCAAGCATGAGTGAATGTAACTGACCCAGAGTCCTCGAGGCTGGCACAATTATTATCACTATGTCAACAATGGGGAATGTGAGGCGCAGACGGGTTCAAGAACTTCCCTGAATGCATAGCAAGCTCCAGACCCTGGATCAGAGCCTAGCAGCCTGGTGGGGTGCCCTCTTGTACCAATGACCAATCTCATATCCAGAAGGATAATCGGGGCCCTGAAAGGTATGGAGGAGGGATTTACTGACACCAATTTTCACTAGGATCGGACCTTGGGTTTCTAGAGAAGAGGGTCTCAGCAGCTGGTTTCTCGGCCTGACTCACTGCCAGCTCCCAGGTTCCTCCATAACCCTGATCTACCCAGTGCTCTCTCTTCTTCTTTACAAACTAAGGTTGCAGTAAATGCACAGCCTCAAACCCTCTTCCATAGCTTCTCATAGCAGCTAAAAGGTATAACACCCATCCCTGTGCATGTACTGATTTATTCATGAGACTTATTGAAGTGCCATCTATAGGCTGAGCACTGTGCCAACCCTGGAGGTCCACAAGGAGCTGGCAGTGCCCTGGGAAAGGTAAACAGAGCAGAGCATGGAGCAGAGTTGGGGTGGGGGGGAGTCCGAGGCATAGCAGGCCCTCCTTGGGGCCATGGCCAGATCAGAATGTGGAAAGTGAAGAGTCCTAAAGGGAGAAGGGATATGAGCAAAGAAGATAGAGTGCATTTGGGCAGAAATGGCTCCAGTGGCCAAAGCCGGGAGGCTGCAGAGAGAGCGCAGGACAAAGAGAAGAGTAAGGCACACAAGACTGGTCAGAGCAGCAGAGGTGAGGAGGTGGGGATGGGCATGGCAGAGGTGCTAGGGCTGCACATGAGGGTGACAGGACCCCAGCAGATCTGTGTCAGGAAACTATTCATCTGCAGCAGGAAGAATGGATGGTAAAAGTGGAATGGGGCAGGGTGCCTGGTGGGTGCACAGGATTTTGCTGGCAAAAAATGGAGAGGACCCAGGTAGGGCAATGGTGGTAGAGAGGGGTGGATGGGTTTGAAGGCGGCAGAGGAGCAGGCAACTTCCCAGGGCAGTGGGTGGCAAGGAAGAGGGCTGGGCTGACACAGTCATACTGTGGACGTCTGGACAGATGAGGACAGCAGGTCTTTGCTAGGCAGAGTGAAGTGGTGAGTGGGGTAGAGGAGAAAGTGACAAATGGCCACTTGCTCGTTCTTTGGGACAGATGGTTCTCAGGTGCAGGTGGCATGGCCAGGTAGCTGCAAAGCTCAGAAGAGAGGCAAGAAAGAGCTTCCCACC